CTCATGACCTTTAATAAGCAGAAACTTTAATGGCCTCTTTTACTTTGTTTTTGTTCTTCAAGATGACAGCTATGATAAAACAGGACCTGGTTGGAGAGTGATAGCCTCCATTTTTCCACCTTTGTAGTCCTTAATCACTTTTAATTTCATTTTCAAGTCAACTGTTTGATGGGGCCACTTACTGAGACCATCTGATATGCTAATAGGCCATAACAAACAGGATGGTATGAGATTGAATCAGCATCAGGGAAAATGATGCAATCAAGAGACACAGTAAGTATGAGTTGCTTGAGGCTGCTGGTGGTGGAACACAGCACATCGTTTTAGAACTCACTTAAAAAAAGTATAACTCGAAGCAGCACACTCTTAAAAATAGTGAAAGGTATAGCATAGTAAATAAACATATGAGCTAGCAAATTTAATTCATTGTCATCGTGCAGTATTATATACTGTGCATACCTCGCACACTGAGGATCCATTTTCACACCCTTGCAACAAAATGATATCCCAGAGAAGAGAGGGACATGAATTTTGTTGTTGTTTCTCAATGCATATAAATTTAGCTTTTTAGATTCTGCTGTAGTCCATTAAACATGCACTGGAATCATGTCTGAAGTCAGTGCATATGCATTAAAATCAATTTATTGCTGGGAAGCGCTAATGATTATCAGAGCCTTCAATGAGTCATAACATTTTGTTGCTGGTGGAAGGTGTTGGCAGTGGAAGCTGACTGATTTGATGACTGGCCACTAAATGTTGGAGTGGCTGGAGTAAGCATTTTCCCCATAGGTTTATTTATTTTTATTTATGCATATGGGTATTGCCTGCATGTGTGTCTGTGCAGCAGGTACATGTAGTGCCCTCAGAAACCAGAAGAGAACATCAGATCCCTTGGCACAGGAGTTACAGGCAATTGTGAATCATCATGTGAGTGTTGAAAACTGAACCTGGGTCCTCTGGAAGAACAGTCAGTGTTTTTAGCTACTGAGGCATCTCTGAAGCCTTCCTAAGACAACAATAGTATTTGCTATGTTAACCATTTCTTTCATTGAGAATTTCTCTGCAATGGGTGACACCACTCAACAGTCTGTTATATGCAGCAGATCTTTAAAAATTGTTCAAAATCAAACCCTTGTAAACCTCATGCCATGTTACCTGCTAAGTTTATGTGAGATCCTAAAGCCCCCTCTATTATCACTTCAACAATATTCATAGCATCTGCACTGGAAGCTGATTCATGTCAAGGAACTATGATATGGTCACATCTAGATGTGTCTCACTGCACGTGATATCTTGGGCCCTCTCCTCCTGCATGTTCTCTGCAATTGACTAGTGCATTGTTGTGTGGCATGTGGCTATTTGTGTGGCCATAGATAATGATGACTGGTCTGGATGGTTTGTAAGGGGCCTGATCAAAGAGAAACAAAACCTCAACTGAAGGCATAGTGCATGTTATATCAATACTGCACATAGCACATGAAGACATGCCGACCCCAAAGGAACACAATGGGCCAATCATTGACACTGACAAGGCCCTGGTATTTGTTAACACAGTGCTGGGGCAGTGAGAACATGATTAAATTAGTCATAGTAACGTTTATATAATGCATGGGCCCCATGGCAAGGGCTTCTGCCCACCAAGATTGATGTGATTGACAGCCTGGGAGGCAAGTAACAGAGGCTAATGCTGAGCCTTGCTGTGGGGCCATCCATCCAGGAACCTAACCATCTACAGCAGAAACTGTGATCTGATTAATGCGTACAGGTTCTACCCTGAAAGTGGCAATGATTCATCTTAACTGGAACAAACAATTTCCAGGTGTGAGTTTGCCATTTTTGGCTCCAGTCCCTCAGCTAGCTCCATTCCCTGAGATCCCTTGCTGTAATGTTCTACGTCCCATCACTGTAGAATAGCAGGCATACTGTAGCAAATGAGGTGTGTCACTAGGTTGTGCTACTTCAGAGAACAAGATGACTGGAGGTCCTCGTGCAGGGAGGTCCCACTCAACAGTGCAGTCAAGCTGCCTGGCCTAACTTAGGTGCTGGCTGAGTCCGAGGCAACTGTAGAATGTGGATTCGAGGAAGGCAAGTGCCATTTACAGACTCAAGAGCACCCAGCGGTTGATCTTTCCCTTGTGAGTTTTCTGGGGGTAGGGGCTGGGGCTTGGAAGACTTCTGGGATATTCTATATCTCATGTGAGCAAACGGATTTGACCAGAGGTAAGGGAGGACCCTAATGGAGTCTGCTGTGAGGCCCAGGTTTTCCCTACTGATGACTGACGCTCTCCTTCAGTGTGTGAACTGCCAACAGCTCTGCCTAGATATCTACCCTAGGACCTGCCCCTGAAGCTTTGAGCCATGATAAGAAAAGGGATATATAAGAGCCATGCCCCACACTTTGGGTTAGCCTCATTCTGGTGCTCTCTGTAGGATTAGCTGGTTATGACTACATCATGACGAAAATTCTTCCATTTTCCAGTACTCTGAATACTATCGTCTAGGAGTTTGCTTCCCAGAGAGACCAGTGACAGCCCTGGTGTTTGTTGGAGTCTGCATCGCAGCAGAAGGCTTCAACTGCAGTGCTGTTCCAGAGACAAGTCATGCTATGATCTGCAGAGGTGGGATGGATTCAAGATTCTTCAAAGGATAGGAGAGAAAGCTTGGTATGAGGAATGTAACCAAATTCCATTAAGTCCTTCACATAAAAAGGGGATCTCTCCCATTTGCTCCTCTTTTCTGATGTCTCCTTGGTATTTGACTGGCACAGGAGGGTCTGCGAACCTGCTTTTCTCAGTGGGCTGCCCTAAGGCCACTTCAAGGTTAGTATGTGCCTCTAGAATATGCATCTCATCCCTGGTTGGTGTTGAGAGCTGGCCTACTAGGCTATAGAAGAGATAAGGGGTTTTTGTGTGAAGATGCCAGTTTCTCAGCATGTAGCATCCCCTGCCAGCCTTTCTTGCCTCTGGGGGTGGAGTTCATGATATAGTGAACAGAATTTTCTCAGTATGGATGATTTTTATAGGGTCATTGGCCAGAGTTCTTAGTCTCCTACCCAAAAGATAGTATCAGACTAACACTAAAAAAGACCCCAAATAACAATAAGAGAGGTCACTAACAGTTATAAAATGAGATCACCCACCTCCCAGAACAACAGTTTCCTGAGTGATGCTGACCTCTTTATTGCCTTGTTCATTGGTCCTAGGAGAGCTTGGTGTAGTGGTATCACTTGGGGCTATGCAATGGAGTGACCCTACTGTACGCAGCCTAACCCAGTGAGCTTTAGGTCAGGATTGGCAGTTTCAGATGATACTGTTCTACAAGCAAGCAGCCACAACCTCTTCAACCCTTGGGGACAGAGCTGGTCTCAATGCCTAGGCACCAGAAATATGTGAAGATACAGATGCTGGTCCATCTGAGATACTGAAGGGCAGTGAAGACTGGAGCTTCTCACCCAGGAAGAGGAGCCCCGTCTCTGCTCTCAACCGTGTGAAGTCTAATGTTGCTCTCTGTAGGCTGCTGTGTTAGAATAGCTTTGATTGCAGTTTGGTGGAACTTGGGAAGTTGCTGTCACCAGTTTCTCAATATGCAGTACTTCATCTGGCATTGGACTACTCTTGCGGTTACCTGCTCCCTGTCTATCTACCATCAGTCACCACCCCTACAGAGATACGCAGCTTCTTGCCTACCTAATGTAATAGTATTTCGAGACTGCTTTTCCCTTTTCCTCTCAACATTCCTGCCCACGGCCACCTGTTTTTCCTGAAGCTTCTCTAGCCATGGACCTTCGCTTCTCACTAGCTGGAAACAATGAGTGTTCTGACCAGAAAAATGGTTTACTGACCAGATTATGTTTTCTAAGAGAAATTAGTCATAGCTCCCATTCACTCTGAAAACTACCCCAATTTGGGTGATAAAAGATTATGTTCACTCTACTTTACCACTATTTGAATTCCCCACCTTGATATCCTGGCCTCCATGCTCTTTCCAGGTTTTCCCACCATCTCAGATATAGGTACCTAGAGGAGATACCCAGTGAATTTTACAGACATCACTCACTCCTGGGCATTGACTTAAGCAATGACTCTTCTCTGTCTGGACTGTGATGCCTCCTGGAGCACCCCACTATCTATGTGCCTACACATAGCTTAGTCTTGTGATAGCTCATATTTTAATATAGACAGAATCTAGAATCGCATAGGAGGGATGCCTCTGGTCTTGTCTGTGAAGGGGTTTCCAGAAAGGTTAAAATGAGGAAGGAGTATCTACCCTGGGGGAGATGCAACGCTATCCCTAAGCCAGGGTGCAGAAACAGGAGGCAGTGAGTGGAATGCCAGTTTGCATCATTCTTGCATCCTGACTGCAGATCCAGTGAGATCAGATGCCCCGTGCTCAGATATATGTGCTCTTGTCATATTGACCACCACAATGGATTTTTACCTTCAAATTCTTCCCTCCTGATGATGGCTTTTGTCAGATAATATACCCATGAAGTCTTTATCCAAGCCTGTTGTTCAGGGTCACCTGGCTTCCCATGCTTTTCCATGTTTGCAGACAGAGAAATATGATCAGTGTAAGAACCTACCACAGACGGTTGCAATGGGTCATAGGGGATACTTGAAACAAGCATGACATTCTGTCATAGTAGAGGATTCTAGCAGAGTGACTGACTGACAGCCATGGAGTTGGGACCTTAGTGATAGGAGCAGAATTCCCAGCCTGAGCACAGATATAGTGGGGAATGCCTACAGAGCAACTGGCTCTGTGTGTGTGTGTGTGTGTGTGTGTGTGTGTGTGTGTGTGTGTGTAGTTTGGACCTTGCTGATAGAAGCAAAAATCCTAGGGCCAAAATGGCACATCTGGGTTTCAATAAACACCAGCCAAATCAAGAGTCATTTTGTAGGGAACACAGCCCCACCTCGCATACAGTTCTCTAACAACTGCAATCTTTGCCCCACCCAAGTGGATTGGGATTTTCAACAAAAAACACAACTCAGTGGTAATGAGATATGCATGGATTTTATGAATGCCCAAACCAGTTCACTTCCATTTAACACCACACACCTTACATCCACAATAACAACATCCTCCCGACAATACAAAAACATTTCCACAATGGTGGCCTTTGCCAGATATATGGGGAGACCACAAGAGGACTTAATCAGGACTCACACAAAGGAATCTCCTCAAAGCTTTAGATATTAAAAACGACATGTAAGAAAAAGTTGTAGTGAAATATTTTGTTACATGTAATTAGTTTATACTAATATAATACCCTTTGACTTAGCATGGTGGCATGCACCTTTAAAATCCCAGCACTCAGAAAGCAGAGACAGAGAGATCTCTGTGAGTTTGTCAGCCTGGCCTATAACTTGAGTTCTAGGTCAGCCAGAGTGATACAGTGAGACACTATCTCAAACAAACAAGTAAACAACAAAAAGAACTGCTATCCATGAAAAATATGCTTTAAAACCCCAATTATTTACATGTAAAGTGTTTTAAGATATTAATAGTTTAGTGTATATTAATTGTGCAAAATAATGGATTGTATTATGGTATCTTCACACATGTCCATAAGCTGCTTTAATCATATTCACCCCTCTATTGTCCTCAGTTGTCCCCATCCTATTCCATCACATTCCTCAATAGTCTGCCATCTACTTTCATGTCCCCCTTTAAGATTTTGCGGATTTAAGAAATTACACAATGTTTTTGGGTCTGGCTTACTTCACCAAACAGAATGACTTCCAGTTCCACCCATAAGTAAATGACGCCAAGTCCTTGGGGAGCGGTGCTGCGATGACCTGAGAGCACATGGAGATTGAATCAAGTGTTTCTTAGACTCTGGTTCAGTCTCAAAAGGTGGGATTGTTTATGGTTTCAGGGTTGGGAGGATTTGGTCCAGGTGCTTTATGGCATCCTGAACCCACTTCTGCTTGGGGTCAGCACAGATATCCTTGCCCAACTTGGTCTTGAAGCTGTAGAAGAGAGCAAACAGTCAGGAGGATACTCTGAAAATTCTCCCCTTTCCTCCTCAGACCTTCCCAGATCATTTATATGGGGTGCAGAGGTCACTGTGGTACAAAACGATGGTCAGAGGAAGGATGGGGCCCCAGGCTTGACTTCCGCTCTTGATGGCCCAGTAACGATAGATTCTCTCTGCTTGAAAGAACTACCACAGCCAGGAACCTGTTCCCATGCAGAGAGCTAGGACTAAACTCTTTGTGCTGTGAAAGCTCACAGATTGGGTTACAGCTTTTAAACTGTCTGATTCTGTAATCAGGACACAGCTCTTGACTGTGTGCCTAGGAAATGAGTTTGAGGCCAGTGTTTATGTGTTTTGGGGGGGGTGTCTACTCACACTATGGCTCTCAGGGTGCATCTGCTGTTGGTGATTTTTTTGTAGCTTTTCAGCAGTGGCTTGGGGATCTTCTTACTGGTCATAGCAAAGCAGCAGGAAACTGGGATAGAGCCTACATTGGGGAGAAGGAAGTGAATAGGAAGAATGAGCCATCTGTGATCCATGGGTGTTTTTAAACATGACTTTGTAGGAAGAAAGTTAGGAGGAGGTAAAGGCTAAACCCAGGTGGAGATAAAATCACGAAGCCCTGTATCTTTGATGTGGGATACTCCCCTCCCTCATGGTCCTCTGCACAGAGGGGCCCATCATCTCTGGCTAGATGTAGTGGACACTATATTATATTGGTAAACTGCGATGTATTGTTGAGCTCGCTGAAGGCCCCAGAAGCAGGTTTGCCCTCCATTCCATTTCAGAGCTAAGCATGTTTAAGTCAAGTTTTCTCCCCGACTTGTGCGGCAGAAGGATGAGTGTCTAACTCTGTGACAGAGAGGAGAGAGTAGCAGAACAGACCACGAGGGACAGTAGTGTGGCCCAGAGAACAGCTAGAATGGAGACTGTCCCTAACAGGACATGAAGAAGTTTCAGCCATGGAGAGGTGCTCAGTGGGGGACTCCAGCTGACTGCCCCAGGGGCTTCCACAGCCAGTTCTGCTGGTTTTCAGCCCCAAGTTTGATGCTGTTACCTTTCTCTTATATTTTCTTTCCAGGGACAGGCACTCTACTCTGTCCCTGGGAACACCAATTGACAGCTTCAACAAGGCTCCCCCAGTCAATTGCTGCTGGGTGTTTTGAGCACTGAATCTGAGGGTATTCTCCCCTTCCCCATACCCCCTTCCCCGTGTGTGTGTGTGTGTGTGTGTGTGTGTGTGTGTGTGTGTGTGTGTGTGTGTGTGCCTTTTATTCTTACTTGGTATGTGTTTAAGAAATACTCTCTCAATCAAAACTTCAAGTGTTGCTGCACAGACCACTCCTCAGGCCCATACGGAATATAATTGTTGTCAGGATCTGTGAACTATCACTCTGTTTTAAAGGAGTGACTCATAAAAAGTGAAAGGAGTGTGCACAATGCGGAAGGGAGTAAAGGTGCACCCACAGACACCTGGCTTCCTATGTGACCACCACTAGAACAAGGGATTAACCATCTTCTGTGCCTAAAACTACAATTTCAGGGTTAACATGTAAAGATTTTGTCTCTCTGTGAACATTTCCTTCAGCCCTTTATTGTTTACAGAGTGTTCACTGATCAACGGCATTGGTTTCCCTGCAGGCTCTGGCCACAGTTCTAGAACATTCTCAGGATGGTAAGACTAGAAAGGAGAAAGGTAAGAAATTCAGATGATAAGACAGCTTGCCTGAAAACAATAGAAACAAATAAACACAGACAAACAAAAGCCCAAACCCAAAAACCTTGATAGCTTAGTAATATGTATGGTCAAGCAATGTTAATTTGCTACACAGTAGCATGCACACAATTCTCATTCAACTCTTACAGAAATGAATTTTTAAAGTAACGAGATAAAATGGAGGGTTAAAATGTAAATATGTGATTAAATTTTTATTAAATGAGAATAATTTTAAAAATAAATATGGATTTTGTGTGATAAGACAAAATACAAAAGCTTAAATTCAAGTCACACAAGGTATGAGTGAATTATACAAAGCACTCGGAGGATAGGACTTAATAATCCTGTAGGCTTGATGACAGGAAGTTATTAAATTTTCTACAGGTATTGATTGCTCCTGGCAACATTTACAAAAACTGATTCAAAAATCAAATATGCAAGACTCATGTCTTTGCTAACTTTGATAGACTGGTTCATACTTGGGAAAACTATATTTTAGCAAAATTAGGATTAATTTAAAATTTTTCTTTGCCCAACCTTTATTTAAATGTCACACAAGAGTTAACAATGTAGGAATGGTAAGACTGCACTCCTGGGTGTTCAGCAAACACAACTTGGAGGCCTATAGCAGTGGGGAGAAGAGGACTAGAAACTAGAGCCAGTATTTCAGCCTTTGGCCTCCAAAGTAAGCCAGGACCTGCATGTTGGAATCCCTCCAAATCAGTAGTCCTCTCGATTGGAGAGGCCAGGGAGTCTTCAGAGACTGGACTCTAAGCAGTGCACATCCTGCAGGAGTGGACAGTCTCCAGATCAGGACATGTTTTCTCCACTTCCAAAGGAAGCCATATGGTCATCAGGCCATGAACCGTCCCTTCAGAGAGCACAAGTATCAGGAAATAAACAAACTAAACTAATGGCGCCAAGGCGCTTCTCCCAGCACCCAAGAGCAATCCCCTAAGGAGTATCCTGTGACATAAGGAGGAGTTTTTCTGTGGTTAACCACACGGTCTTAAACACCCAACATAAAAGTTAGTATAACCACAGTAAATACAGTCATGCAAATGACTGGCTTTGGTCAGTTTAAAAGGGGCAAGCTGTCAAATTTCGTAACAGTACTGATTGGTTTCACCTGGCCAGTGTTAAGCCCTATGTTCCATAAGACAGTCAAAACTATAAAAGAGGAAAGGCCCACTATAAAACAATAAGCAGCTGAAGGTTTATGCTTTTCCCTTAAAAGATACCCCTCCACTCCAGATAAACACCCATGCATACCCATTTATTTATCTGTCAGCAAAAAGTTCCTGACACTCCCTGCCTCCTTAAATGGCTAATCAGGTATGTTTCTTCCATAAATCATTCATAAGACAGTAGATCCTTCAGCATTTTACTATTTTAATTCTACTTAGTTTCTTTGGTCCTTCATTTATGATTGATGCCATCTGGATTCTAAGCCCTAAAACTTCAAATGATGCAGGAAAAGGCTGCTAACTCTTGACCACCGTGCTGCCAGGTCACGCAGAATAGTTCCGTACATTCATCCCACAGTGTATTAAATCAATCCACCTTATTTGTCCCCAAATAGCAGAGATGGCAGCACCATATAACAACATGTGGGCAATTTAAGAGCTGAACACACTGTACATTATATTGTTAAATCGTTATGTGTTGTTTGAGATCACTGGAAACTGGCTCTGGAAGTGGACTTGCCACCCCCTACACCTCAGTTTCTGACAAAAATCATGTCTAATCTCACAGAGTTCTTCAAGCTCTCTTTGCTTGGGAATGGACTAGTCCCCTAACCTCTGAACTCTTTGACAGGGAAGGGGGAACAGCCAGACACCCAGGAATGAAATATTATGCCCTTAAGAACAGTTAAAAAGTGACATATTGCCAAGAGAGGTTATTATCATTTATCCCGGATGTAAAAGTACTTGTTGTTGGGAAGAGAAGCCAGATGTTCAGCTGTGGGAAGCTCATCCACAGAAGTACAAAAAGGGAACTCCCTTTTCCTACTTCCCAGTCAGTTTCAGATGGGTGCTATGAGCTCCCCGTTTAGCAGTGTTCTGTGGGTTATTATTTGCTTTTTGGTTTGGAAGCCTCACTCGAGAGACCCTATCTGTTGGGAGCCCCAGATGACTGCCTTAAAGGGGCTCACCTAGTCATTTTCTGCTGAAGGTTTTGAACACTAGAATTGATATTTTGTGCTCTCTTTCTCCATCTATTCTTTTACTTTGGCTTGCTATCATTCTTTCCTTGCCAGAACACAAGGGCACAGAAAAGGCCCCATCACTCTGATACACTTTTATTGTCATTAAGAGGAGTACACAGTGATATGATAGTCTCAGAACCAGCCATCAAATACTATCCATTGTCTGTTCTCTGCGCACAAGTGGGCTTTCACTCTTGGCCATTTTTGTTGGCTGGCAGCTTTAGTCAGTTTTGTTCATAGGGAGAGGATGAAATGGCATGTAAAACTTCTGAGCTGGCGGCTTTAGTCAGTTTTGTCCATAGGGAGAGAGAGGATGAAATGGCATGTGAAACTTCTGAGCTTGCAAGTGTTGCCTATGGAGCCCTTGAGCACTCTTCCCCTTTGCTCCCCAACCCAGCCCGGGAACCTAAGTATATTGTACAAAAGCCGAGCACATGAGTTGATATTACTCGCTATGAGCCATTGTTGATTTGCATTAGTTCACACCCAGTAAAAGGAAGTCATCCAAAGATAGGAAAAGGAGGTAAGACACAAACACCTACAACAGGTTCTTAAATAGAGTCAAGATGAATCCATTTGAGAGGGTGTCTCAGGGTCCCTTCCTGGTTTTCCCATTGTTTTTCTCTTAGAATCCTGTAGAAACTCTTCTCCCTAAATGGGTCCTTCTATATCACGCTATACAAATTCTCACTGTGCCATACCCAGACAGTGTGAGGGGAGACTGTGTATGTACTTGGCATTTGCCTCAATAATCCTGAGAGAGAGAGACAGAGAGACAGAGAGACAGAGAGACAGAGAGACAGAGAGACAGAGAGAGACAGAGAGACAGAGACAGAGAGACAGAGACAAAGACAGAGAGACAGAGAGAGACATAGAGAGGGAGACAGAGACCATGCCAATTCTGGCTGTTTGACTGATTAGGGTCCCTTGTCCCATTTTTGAATTGCAGAGTTAGCAGTGAGTCTCTGAAAAACGTCCTGGCATTTGGATTAGGAAATGGCTGGCCTCAATAGGGAGGAAGGAACTTACCTGGGTGAGCCAGCACCTGGGAGGTGAAGGCAGTGGCCACAAGCAGCAGGCACAGAAGCCCTGTGGAGATCTGCATGGTGGAGGGAGACAGCTGCAAGTTTCTGTGTTGGTCTCAGGCTCTCTGCTCTGCTGGCTATTCTGCCTACCTTTATAGGGAGCAGAGTGGGTGGAAGCTTCCAGAGAAGACTTTGCCTGCACAAGGTCATGAAGGAGGGGTCTTGAGCAGTGGAGCACAGGCCAGTTCTTGGTAAGACAGCAAACTGAAGAAATACAAATCCATGGGTGGGACTTGGCATCTGCCTGGGGATGGGAGTGAAAAAGGAAGAGATTACTTGATTATGAAATGTAACTTATCATTACACAGCATGAAAAAGAAGCCAGAGAATGAAGTGACATGGGGAAACCAGTGGATTTTCAGAGTCCTCCTTGGTCTCTGTGTTTACTGGTGGCCTGGAGGGTTTTGGAAGCCAATAAAGTCCCCGGAATGTGCCCACTTAGAAGCAGAAAGAGTTTAGTGCCCTAGGTGTGAACATTGCTGCATGTCTGTAACTCAGAAAACAGGCAGGATAGTCTTGCTTGTCCTTGTTACATAATCCAGTGGGCATATAATCTTAGTGCCCAGGAACTTAACATCATGTGAGACAGCGAGTGTAGGAATATCTTAGAAAACTAGGATCACACTTGGTTTGAGATACACACACACACACACACACACACACACACACACACACACACACACCATCTTAGTATGTACACATCCTTCTCCAAAGAAAGTAACTGCTTCCTTTGCCCTGGTAATCCCTACCAATTCCTTAGCATCCCCCTTTTCCTGGTTAGCAACTATTCAAATACATTCTAGTATGCCTCCTGGAACCAGGAGCAGTGTGTATCTGTCTTGGATGGGCAAGCTATGTTCCCAGAATGAACTTTTAGAGAAAAATCTCTACCATCCTGTGCCTGAGTGGGTATGTATATGATGAAAATTAGATGCATCACGGGGAAGGACTATGTGCAGCAAGAAAAGTCTTACACAACCTAAGCCTGCCAATCAAAATGAAACTATCCAATGCCCCTGCCCTGTCAGTCAGCTGGACCCTCAGAAGGAAAGCCAGGGAGTATGCTGACTTGAGCCTCCGGAGCCGTCTCACTGAGTGCCCACTGCTTACTTACAGGACATCTGCACTGGATCTACTCTGTGCCTTGTCCATTTTGTGCTTTTGGACAAAACCTCTGGCTGCTTTGCTCTGGCTCACCCTGAGCACAGCACTTCAAGAACCCCAAAACATCTGATCCGTACAGATCCCACCACTTCTGACAAGGAACTTTCAGAAAAAAAATAAGTTAATGCCTTCTGACCTTGACTTTCCCCCACAAAAGCAAGACCCCTAAAATCTTCATTTCAATAAAAACATCTTAAGTGAATTTGATAGCCATACCTAATTGAAAATTGCTGATCTAGAAGATGGTAGATTAAAATGAAGGAAAAAGACATGACTGGGTAAATATCTTAAATATTAAAAACCAAAATAGCAACGGATAACAATCTGCTATAATTGCCTAGAGTCCTAGGGCAAAGCGCCTCCAATAATCAGGTAAAAAAACAACAACAGGAAAACAAAGACAACAAAATACCTCTAGGCACCTCACATGAAAGTACAATTTCAGAAAACCTTATACAAATTTAATATGGGCAATGATGGTTACCTGTTCCTTTTGCCACTTCCTGTGCCATCATCAATAAGAATAACAATTGAATATAATCATTCTAAGAAGCTCTTCTGATAAATAAAATAGTAAGTTTTTGATTGCTATCCAAAGGCCTCTGAAAATGTAAAAAATAGTCATTAGTTGCAAAAACATCTTTCCATTTATTCCATTTCACATTTAGGGTTCACTGTTAGCAACAAAAATGTTGACAGGTGACTCAAACACCTAAACTAGGATTAATTGAGGATAAGAAACAAGAGTTAGGCACTTGCTAGGAAGTAACAGAAAAAAACATTTAAAATAAAACTCCTGCATAGCAAATATATTGTTCTGGAGCTGGTTTTCGTGTAACAGAACATGTGACTGGTGTCTTCACATCATAAGGACTCAAGGGACACATAGAAAGACAGCCTTCTAGTTTATCCCCATCCTCTGAACACACAGCAGACAAGGTGTCTAATGGCTTCAACACATCACAGACAAGGAACACAAGAACTAACTGCTTATATTCCTCTATGCAAAACCCTAGGCCCTATGTAGAAGCAGCTGTAGGAGACGCAATGCCTTAAATATTGCAGCTGCAGTAAATTACTGTGTTTAAAGCTAGCACAGGGGCACCATGTGATTGGTTCCTGGCTTTTTCTGGGGAAGTCCCACATCAAATTGACTGATCTGTAAAGGTTACATGGGAAGATGTGTTAAGGAGTTGGGTTAGAAAAAGGCAGTACTCTGGTCCACTAGTGACGTCTGCCCTAAGCACTGGACTACAGTGATCTTTCTGGCTTACAAGCACCATCTGCAGTTAGTCAGCAATTACTTTAAAAGGAGCCAAATAGAAGCCAACACACTCGATCTATCTTTCCTGTTTCTTGCTGCTCAGTTCCAGGTGGCCTAGTATCAGGGGAATAGTGGATCTAGGATGCCTGAAATGCCATGGCTATGTTACTGATAAGCTTCATGCTATAGGTAGCTTATCTACCCTCCTAGTAGGCTAAGATGGGAAGGATAACCAAGCCTAACTCAAAGGGTTACTATGACGATTAAACCCAGTAATATAGAAAGTACTTTAATGTAAAACAAGGGATAACTAGGCTACAATCCACAGCCCCAGAGAAGCTAGGTAACAAAGAGGACCCTAAGAAGGATGCATGGGTTTCCCTGGGAAGGGGAAATAGATGAGATCTCCTGGGTAAACTGGGGGTAGGGGTTGGAGGGGAGGTGATGGGGGATGGGAACATTGGGGATAGGGTTGGTCAAGTTGGGAGCAGGAAGGTGGAGGAGAATAATAAAAGAGATATCTTATAAGAGGGGCCCAAGAAACCAGGTGCCAGGAAAACTCCCAGGGATCCACAAGGATGACCCCAGATAAGAACTCCTAGCAATAGTGGAGAGGGTGCCAGAACTGGCCTTCTCCTGTAATCAGATTGGTGACCACCCTAATTGTCAACAGAGAGCCTTCATCCAGTAACTGATGGAAGTAGATGTGGAGATTCACAGCCAAGCCCTGGGTTGTGCTGCTGGAGCTCCCAACTGACTCAGGGAGTCCAGTTGACAGAGGAGGGATTGTATGAGCCAGTGGGGTCAAGATCATGATGGGGACATTCACAGAGAGAGTTGGCCTCTGAGCTAATGGGAGCTCACAGACTCTAGACCAGGGAGCCAGCATGGGACTGACATAGATCCTCTGCACGTGGGTGACAGTTGTGTAACTTGGTCTGTTTGTGGGGCCCCTAGCAGTGGGATCAGAACCTGGTGCATGATGTGGGTTTTTGGAACCTATTCCCAATGCAGGGATGCCTTGCCCAGCCTTGATGCAGGGGGAAGAGCTTAGTTCTGACTCAATATGATATAATATGATATGATACGCTTTGCTGACTCCCATGGGAGGCCTGACCCTTTCTGAACGGAGGAGGAAGAGCAGATGGGGTCAGGGATAGATGGAAGGAGGGGAAGGGAATGGGAAGAGAGGAGGGATGGGAAAACTGTGCTTGGTATTAAAATAAATCTAAAAACTTTTTAAAAAGTGAAAGAAAGTACATGAAAGAATCGACATCTCTATTTTAGGTTCTCAGTGCCTGGCTGCTAAGCATTTGTCATTAGAAAGTGGATTTTATGGGCCAAGGGGTGCTAGAAAGAGACTGTGTCTAGGTAGATGATCTCCTCCTCCACTTGGCTCTTAGATTTCCCCCTACTTCCAAGGAAGACAGCATACCCTTGAGACAGCTTTAGGAATTCCTGTGTTGCACATGAGGGAGGCCTGGCATTCCAGAAATTATGTCAATGTAAGATATTTATAACATTCCTGACCTCAGAGGTGTCTGGATGATGTCATTAAATGATTGTACACACTTAGCAGGAATAATTTTATAGTCCAGTTGGGGGTATAGAGTAACTTTTTTTTTCTACTTTTCTCATTGAGCTCTGGATTTTGATAGCAATCCAGAAACCTCAATGAGAATCAGTAAAAATAATGTTGAGACATCCAAGTTCAGCAGCTGCTCCATCCAACTGCCTGGCTGTTCCTGGAAAATGGGAGGGGTCAGAAGTGGGGCTCCCCTGGCCCTTCTCTGCTTCCCAGCAGTCACCAGGAAAGGACACCTTACTCACCTGTAATGTGCTCCTGTGTCTGGTGAACTGAGAAGGAGGGGTTTGGTCAGAGAAGGACAGGCTCTATGTCCCCCAGGGGAAACACAATCTTGCATTCTTCAGTGTTTCTTTAAGGAATGCAGAGAAGGAAGGGAAAGGTCCCTGGAATCTGGGCTCTTGGCTTTGACTTTCTCAGCTCCAGATTGTATCTACTGTGTCCAAGAAGACACGGGGTGGATTTCAGCTCAGCAGTAGAAAGCCTGCTTAGCACACACAGGGTCTGGATTTAATCCCCAACAAACAAAAGACAGCAAGAGCATAGTCAGTCCCATAGAGTCTTGAAAGAAATGTAGACAAGTATTTTTATTTCGTCCCTTTATTTAAAAGAAGAGAGAGGTGGGAGATGAGAGAGTGGGAGGGAGGGAAGAAGGGGGAGAATTGAAAACTGAGGTCTGGGACCAAAGGTAAAGACTCAAAGTCTCTTCTATGCACTTTAGGGGTAGTGGCTCTAACACCTTTCTTGATTCCTTTCTTATACTGTGACGATTCTACTGCACTATAATGCTTGCCTGCGTGTGCTGCTTGTTTTGTTGTCAACTTGGTAGAATCTAGAGCCACCTGGGAAGAGGGAATGCCAACTGAAAAACTGTCTCTGTAGGACTGGCCTGTGGTCATGTTTTTCAGGATTTGTCTTGAGTGGTGATTGGTGAAGGAGACTCAGCCCACTGTGAGTGGTGCCTCCCTGTATAAGGGGTCTTGGGCTGTATAAGAAAAGTAGCAGAATGAGCAAGAGAGGGGATTAGTAACCAATATTCCTCCATGGTTTCTGCTTCAGGTTCTGTCCTGAATTCCCTCAATGATAGGTTGTGGCCCAGTAGTATAAGCCTATGCAAACGTTCCCTTCCTTAAGTTGTTTTTGGTCATGTTGTTTATCACAGCAACAAAACATTTGGTTTAATCTTGTGCAAAAC